TGTACAAGGGATAGTACAGGATAGGGAGGGAGTTCTTGGTTTGATAACCAGTAGATGCATCTACACATGTGCTTTTTTACGCAGTAGCCTATTTTATTACGCATTAGAGTGTTACAGCAAGAACCATGCCAATATGCTAACACGTGGTAAAATTAGGCTACTGTGCATTAAGCATCACTAACAAAACACAATTTTTCCAATTATTCACTTGGTCTCATAAAAGATATCAGATTTACCCAGAGAACCTTGTCTGACTAAAAAAAGTATATGCTTTTACTACTGCACATTAGGGCAGCCTAATGCGTGTTTAGTTAGTACCTTGCATTAGAGGTACTAAATTTAATGCACAGTAGCAAAAGCGCATTGATGAACATGTAGATCAGGGGTGGGCAATTATTTTGGGCAGAGGGCTGCTTACTGAGTTTTGGCAAGCCATCAAGAGCCGCATGACAGGAAGCCCAGGGCAGATGAATATTAATTTTCTAAATTTTTTAGGGGCCCTGCGGGCCAGATAGAATGGTCTGGCGGGCCGCATCCGGCTCTTGGGTTGCATTTTTCCCTACCCCTGATGTAGATGGTACCCAATGTGTCTGTCTGTGGAATTAAGTTCAGGGCATTGGCAGTGCCCTTCTCCCCACTGCTTTCCACTTTGGAATGTTGTAAGGTGTTCTTGATGTTTTCTGATTGGATGCCTTGCTGTTTGTTGTATGTATGTGAGGTTTCACAGTGGTGATTTTGGGGATTCCTTGGGTAAAAATTTACCTACACGGGACTGGACTCAATGGGTCAGGAAGCCCCTTCTAGTTCTATGCTTCTATTACTTTTTAACTTGCTGGAGTGCTGGTGCTGCACTGTTATAGCACTAGTGTCCTATATAAGGACTCCACAGAGCAAGAATCAGTAGTCTCTGTTCTTCTTCCAAAATGTGTGACATGCAGCACCTCAACAGAAATTATTTATCTGTATGTCTATTTTGGCAAGGTTATTCAGCAAAGATCCCTTGCTTTTATAATTCAGAGCATGTATGTGTTTGTGTGAATTTTTTTTAAAGTTGTTCCTGATCACTAGTTTGCATACAGGCCTCCAGGTTAATTTGGAGGTACTAAATCTATATGATTCTGTAAAGTTTAACTGGTGCCACACTAAACACAAACTTGATGATTCAGATGCCCAATCTGTAGTAATATGTAAGGTGCTACATCTGTGTGCCCTCATGTGCTTTTATAATAACCTCTTTACCTTGATTTGGGTGTCTGTCCCAAAGAATACATAGTCTGTTTTGTGTATTCAGGTGGTACCTAATGCAGTGGGTCCCAACCATTTTAGACCCAAGGCACTCCTCAGAAAATACCAGCTCTTAGCTTTCGCTCATTTTTTGACTACGGAAAAGTAATAGAGCAGTATTTCTGTTGCAGGGAGCTCAGAAAGACCACGACAGTTCAGATTTTGTTTTTCAACACTGGCTTCTTATTTGAAATCACTGGGTTTATCTTGTAAATCATGTTTGCATAACTAACAGTGCCAACATTGTGTGTGGCATCCCATGTCACTCTTGAAAGGATCTCAAGGCACCTCGGGGTGTTGCAGCACCCTAGTTAAGAATCACTGGCCAAATATAGTAGGTCTATAAATGGTACTGTAATATGGGCATGCTGAGGGTTTGCTGTGTAGGAAGAATATTGTCCTTTTGAATAATTGTGTGCTATCAGTGAGCTTAGTGCTATACAAAATTTGCAAAGGAGTGCCTTCCCTGACTAGTTTACCTCATAAACAAGGCAGAGTAGTTAGAATACACATCAGTTTGACAGATTAGGGTGTCAGGTTAAATACTGTGAGCCATAGCATTACCTCACGTGGAAAAATCTGGGGGAGGAATGAGTTCTTTAGCACTAAACTCAGCTACTTTGAAATTGGAGTTCCTTAGGGGTCATCATGGAGCTTTGAACTTGTGGTGCTTGTGGAGATGAGTTATTAAATTACGTTTAAGCGTTGTTTCAAATGGATTTGTGTCTGTTTCACCCCATTCTTGCTAAAAATGGACAAAGTGGTTTGGTTCCTGAAATCACCATTGTATTTTCTAGTTATGTTTGTTTTTGTTAATGTAAAAATGTAGTCTTGATTTTCAAGTAAATAAATTGCCGTCAATAAGCTATATTATTTATTAGAGCACAGTATCAAAAAGGTGGCATTAGGACTTCTTGGGGGGAGTGCATGTGATAACATTTTAAACTAAGAAAAGAAAAGCAAACTAAGTGTACAACTTCAATGCTTTATTAAGCAAGGTTGATAAAATTGATTTATATTAATTTTTAAAATCTTTTAAAAAATTTAAATCAGAATTTTTATTTAGATAGGATTTTTCTTATTTCATTTAAATTTATTTTTGAAGACTTATTTAATGACTTATTTTTAAATGAAATCTAAATTTAACACAAGATATTAAGGACTAAAATGCTTCTTATAACATTTAAATAAATAATCTGAATCCATGAACTTCTATTTTTAAAAAAATACTGAGTTACAGGCTCTGTTTTTTGGGGGGTTTTATGTAAAAAAAATATTTTTACTCTGATTCTAATTTGGGAGTTTAAGCTTTGTAAATATGGCAAAATAGGTCATGTATTGGGCTTCATCGTATGGGAAACGCAGGGTCTGTGCTGTTGGACTTAAGAGACTGGCAGAGTCGTTGTGGGTTTTGGGATCTGGCCTCTGACTCCAGCAGGAGAGACTGCCATATCTCCTTTGTATCATTGATTGAGCCCATATGGGTGGTCTGATGCATGCATTTTAATGCAGCTGCTTGATACAAATCATGAGCAAAGTTTAATTATTATCTAGGAAATAAGCAAGATATTATTCACTGTTTTCTGTCACTAAAAATGTAAAATTAATAAAAATCTTAAAAATAAGCTGTATATTTGTTTAAATAAATATGTGTAATCATAGTATAATCTCCCTATACTGTAGCAAAACGGAGCAGCAAAAAATCTAGTGTAAAGGCTCTCTTTAGTTGTAAATCTACATGTTTTAATGCTACATCAAGCAGTAAAAATGCACCTTTCTTTAGAAAATAACTGAAGCACAAATTGAAGAACTGATTAAAATCAGGGCTTTAAATTAGGGCTTTACTTTTATATTTACATCACCTTAATTTAAATCCCTCCATGGTGGTATTGGGATAAGTATTGACAAGGGCAATAATAAAATAGATCATTAACAAAGCCAGATGTCCCTTCCCTCATCTCCCATACAGTGCATACTCATTTTACATTGCTCTGGTTTTAGGAGACAATGTAAATCGCTCTTAGTGTGATTTAGAATTGGCTTCAGTCTCCTTATGGTGAATTTCTTGTTTGGCCTCTGAGTTCTCATCCACCTAGACAGCAGCATCCTGCAATTGTGTTTGTGATTAGAGTGCTCACCATCATTTTCCGAAAGTCTTTCAGTTATCTGAGAACACCACCACTGTGGGCTGGGGAGAACCCAAGTGGCTGAGGAAATGGCCAGACTCCATTTTGGATGCCTTAATCTGTTGCTTTTCTAGCAGCTCTGCTGCCCTGCTCTGTGCAGTGCTGCTTAATTTCCTGCTGTTTCTCGTTGCTTAAACAACCAGTCCTAGTTTCCCTTTTACCAGCTGCTGTTGTGGTAAGCTTTCTTTTTCATCAGGAGGGCATATGTTACAGCTACAAAGTCACATTCATTTGCTATTTATGACTTCACTGGTAGGGGACAGGGTTGTCAGTACTCTTCTGCAAGCCTTTTATAGTCCAGTAACAGAACAAGAGAAAAGATCAGGCAACTCTGTTACGAACTAGCATGCCTCTTTGCTTTCTGTGCCCCAAGCAACACTGCCCTATTCTCCAAATTCCTGTACAAAACTAGTTTGCTTTGATTAGCTTTTTATTCCAAATCTCTACTTCAGTCTTGTCTGCTCTTGTCCCTGTACCTGATCAGAAAACAAAATACAAATAATAACCCAACTACAAAAAAAAATCCCTCAAAGAAAAATACTTTATATAATACTGAATTGTCTACTCTTTAACCAGAAAATAACAAAAAAGTTAATAATGTTTGCCTCAAAGTGCTGGTCTCATTTCTGGTAGACATCCTCTGTTTTTCCCTAATTACTATGCCTGACTTCTCCACAAAGTGTCTGTTTAGATTATAAGACCCTAAAGAGCTTGTAATCGTCAAAAGGTAAAATATAGTCCACACCTATAGTTCTGCATACATAATAAGGGATCAAACGGCCCCTCTTTATTTTAGGTAAAACCAGGCAAGGGAAAAATTTCCTATGAGGCAGGCATTAGTTTAGGAAGCATTAGTTTTTGCTCTGAGTTTTCCTGTCAGACTCCAGACAGTTCTTTAACTTGAACTATTTGTAATGGAGGGTGTATAGATGAGGTGAACAAATTCCTAGTAGTCTTACGCAAAAAAAGATTGAGAAAGTCTGTTATATTTTCTTGAAATTTTTGTGTGTGGCATTTTCTTATTTCAGTATGTTTTTGTTGTTGGCTTCTTGCTTTCCTAATTGCTAACAGAGCACATGTGCGAGAGGAAGAGTAGTAGATTTCTCAGGGGTTCTTAAAATTCCTATTAGATAAATCTCAAGACTCCTCTTCCTGCCACCATCCTACCAATTGCTGACTCGATGGAGCTCCCATTGGAGTCTGCGGATGCTCTTCGTTAATTGCCTGGAATGGTCACTGATGCAGGGTTTTTAGGTATCTACCTGCTGCTAGGGAGCTGATGTCCCAACCCTGGCTGGTAATAGGTCATATGTGTCTTGTTCAGGAAATATAAAATGGTTTTAGTCAGCCTGGTTTGTAATTGAAACTAACTTGCGAATCTGCTGAAAAAAATGTTTTGTTTTTAAAGTGGTATTCAGTTTTTGTGGTATATAAATGGAAAAAACTTAAACTTGATTGTAATCTATGTTACCACACCATTTTTATAGATGCATAACAAAATAACTGATTGACTTAACCTTTTCTTTCTAGTCTCCAGAGGGTGCTGAGGGCAAGGATGCAGCAAAAGTAACTAAACAAGAGGCAAGTTTTCCTGTTTTTCATATACTGTAGTTTTAATTATTTTCCACAAATTTACAAGACATAACAGTGTATGCCACTCCCTAAGGAGCCACTTATAAAAATCCCTCACTATGAGAATAATGTTACTTTAATCATGGCAAATTTGGTAAGATCTAATCCTTATGGGCTGACTAATCATAGGTCTCATTTTTACGTGAGGTATATTTCAGTTGCAGTTAGTCTGGGTTTGAAGGAGAAAGGGATGGAAGGATTTCCACATCAAGGAGTTTTGTTTTTTGTTTTATGTTGTTTTTAACCCCAAAAGAATGTTTTAATACTTTGAGTTTAAAAGCTATGTGAATATTCAAGTGAATTTCCTCTTTCTTTAAAAGCTTTGAACATTTTTCCCAAATACATATTTGAACTGAAAACTTGAGTTGGAACATAAACTGTAAGACTTTGAAAAATGTACAATTTACTGAGCCAAGTCAAGTAGCTGACCTGAGCCTCTGTCTTTTAAAAAAGGAAGAGGCAAGAGGTTTTAAACAATTGTTAAGTTGCATCCTGAGCTCTGAAGAGAACAGGTTAGCCTTAGAACGTATAAAGATATGAAAAGAGTATCTTGGTTTCTGGGTACTCAGTAGCAGTATCTTCCTATGAAATTTCATAGAAGATCAGGAAGAGAGACAGTTGTCTGTACACAAATTAGTGCAATTGAGAGATGTATGTACTTTCTGTTGTATAAAATATGAAAAGGCAATTAAAGGAAATACCTCAGACAAATCTTAAATTTAATGTAACTAACATATTTTTGTGTGTTAAATTATCTTCTATCACAATTCAAATAGTATTTCCTCAAAACAGAATAGAGAAAGTGCTCAGATTTTTTTTCCTAGAAAGATTTGAGAGAAACCATTGTCTATTGATGTCCAGTATAAAGAATGAACATTTCTGTTTCCTTACCAGGAGCTTGCAAAAATCTGTTAGAATTCTAAGGAGCATGTTCTCCCTGAAATGTGACAATACTTGAAATAGACTTGAAGTCAAGAATAGATACAATGGCTATGGATGCTATAGAAAAAAACTACAGTAGAAAAGCTGTTTTTTGACTTTGTTCATGAAGACAGTTTAGCTCTGTGTACATAGCCTCTACAGCTTAGTTTGCATAATTGACAGTCAGATATGACAACTTTTAAGTAAAGTAGGATGAACGATTTAAACAACCAAGCCCTTAAACTCTGGGAATATTTTAAAAATATGGTAAACTTTCTGTACTCTTGCTGTCATTGCAAACCCCTAAGTGTAGCAGATCATTGGGTAAAGCTTGGCTATATGAAAATTCATTTGTTTTTCAAAAATATGGTTTTAATGCACACTGTCTTATCCCCACCTTGTGATGATCAAACACTTCCTAGAGAACCATGGGGTGTAAATAATGTATTTCAGATGATGACATCTTCAGAACATACACTTCTTTATCTTAAAAAAGGCTTCTTCAGTTTACTTTTAGGCCCTCTCGTAGTTGGCGCTGGTTATAATACTGTTGTCCTTTTATTGATTGAAAACGGAATTCAGTTTTGTTGTATAGACCAAATTTTAACTGAAATTCATAACAGTGCTATGGAACCAGGTCCTGAACTCGCATATATTTGTAGCACACTCTTTGGAGTGGAGAACAGGCTGACAAACTCATAAAGCTTTTCCAGACTTCCTTTTCTTCTGCATTGGACCTTTAAAAAAAGAAAAGTAATATAAAAAAACAAAAATCCCTCTCAGTTTTCTTTAAACAGAAAAAAAAAGTTAAATAAAATATTTCTTTTCTGAGTCTGCAACTTGTTTTGTGCCAAACAACTTCTGTGTAGGATTGGGCCCCTAATTTGTTTTTTAAATCCTAGGATATGACTTCCTCTATAAAGGAACCCTATCAATTTAGCTTGCATTTTTGCGAAATATTTTGCCTCATGGTAAAATAGCACCTGATAGTTTAGAGAAAACATTATTCAGAATATTTTCAGCTTATTTGTGTTGTGCCCTTGACAGCCCTTTCTAGTGTCAGTTTTAGTGTTCTCCCAGCAGTCATCCATTCTGTCCTGTTTATAGGCCTTTCACATAGCAACAAGGGAGAGAGACATGATTATAAATTGTTACTGGAATGTTACTGTAAAATTTACAAATATTGATATGTTTGAAGCAGGTAGTGTCACTGGAAATTCAACAACAGACTAGATTTCAACTTTGACCCATCCCTTTAAAATGTTAAAGGTCCAGTATACGTGGAACCCTTTTGCTATCCTGGAACTGCATTTTATTTTGTTACCAAATGAGTGACAGATTTTTGCCTTAGTTTGAAAATGATCACCAGCCTATAAAAGCCATTTTTCTTTCTTTCTCTTATAGCCCACAAGACGATCAGCAAGATTGTCAGCTGTAAGTATTTATAAGAGTTGTTGGTGTCTGCTTTCCCAGACACACACTTTCTTATCCCAGACTGATAAGATTGTCACTTCGTTGCTTCAGAACTTATTCTTAAAAGAGCATTAAGCACATTTGAAGGAAGGATGTTTGTTTGCAGTTGGTTTTATTAAAATTAGCTCCTGAACAGACCTATGTCCCACTTCTCTCACTATTATGTTGCTGCCTGCACCACTGACTCAGCACTCCTGGTAGCTGTATCTCCTGACAGATGCTGGTTGTAGAAATTAATATTCCTCTTTTAGAGGAGGGAACAGTCCAGCATAGCTTGATTTGATGCCTCTGAATAGTTTGGGATGCAAGTCAGGTTTGGTCTTTTTTCAATGTGGATGGAAGGATAGGTGGGAACTAAGTCTCCTCTTATTCCTTTTCTAGTAAATTTGTTTATGGTATGTGTATGTGTATGAGTATGAGGGAGCTCTCTCAGAAAAAAATAAACTCACTTCACGAGGAGTGGAGAGGAAGAACCTCCCAGAGTTCTAGTAATGTTGGAAAAGGTAGGCCAAGATCTTTCCTTCAAGATGGTGACAGCAAGCAGGGTTTATGATGTCCCACTCCATACTCCCTGCTTGGAATTTAAAATGAACCCCAAATTAGACTGATTCCTTGACCTGGTTAGCCTATGATGATGCATGCTATAGTAAAGCCTAAGACTGGGTGAGGTATATCTACACAGTGAGATTCTCCCTAGTCTTAAAAGTTGCACGCCATTGACTAGGAACTAAGGAAAGGTGGGGGTGGAAGCATAGTGGTAAATTAT